TCCGGACGCACGACAGGTGCCCCCCCCCCCAGTCCCCGCCCCTCCTTGCCAGTGATTTCTCTCGCTGGCGCTCTCACGCACGTGACCTCGCTCTTTTCCTGCTCTCAGGCATCGTTTTGGATTCTGGGGACGGCGTGACCCACAACGTTCCCATCTATGAAGGTTACGCTTTGCCTCACGCCATCATGAGGTTGGACCTGGCTGGACGTGACCTCACCGACTACCTCATGAAGATCCTGACCGAGCGCGGCTACAGCTTTGTCACCACGGGTACGTACGTGAGCGCCCGTCCGACTGTCGCCACGTGTGTGATTTTCTTTGGTAGCTAGAAAATGTTTCAATCACTGCCCTCCATTAGAATTGCCATGACAACCGAATTCGACATCTCATGATGTATGAATGTCTGCCCTCAACATTTGTCCATTTCTCTCGTCACGCTGGCGTTTCATCGCGGCGATGGTTTTTGCCGCATCAGCCGAGCGTGAGATCGTGCGCGACATCAAGGAGAAGTTGTGCTACGTGGCTCTGGACTTCGAGAACGAGATGGGGACGGCGGCCACGTCGTCCTCGCTGGAGAAGAGTTACGAGCTCCCCGACGGCCAGGTCATCACCATCGGTAACGAACGCTTCCGATGCCCCGAGACTTTGTTCCAACCGTCCTTCATCGGTGAGTCCCTCCGTCCGTTCGACGCGCGAGCATGTCGCGAGGTCCGCTAACGCCGCGCCGCGGCCGCAGGCATGGAGTCGGCCGGGATCCACGAGACCACTTACAACAGCATCATGAAGTGCGACATCGACATCCGCAAGGACCTCTATGCCAACAACGTGCTGTCGGGGGGCACCACCATGTACCCCGGCATCGCCGACCGCATGCAGAAGGAGATCACCGCCCTGGCACCCAGCACCATGAAGATCAAGGTCAGCATAAAGCACCGGGTCCACCCCCATCCGCAGACACACGTGCTCCCACACTCACTTCCCGTTCCCGCCCATTTAGATCATCGCCCCCCCGGAGAGGAAGTACTCGGTTTGGATCGGCGGCTCCATCCTGGCGTCGCTGTCCACCTTCCAGCAGATGTGGATCAGCAAGCAGGAGTATGATGAGGCCGGCCCGTCCATCGTCCACCGAAAGTGCTTCTAGATGGTTCGGGCAGGACCGGCCCCGCCCAACGCCCGCCTCCGGAAGCGCCCCTCACCAGCTTGCAGGCTCGACCCCCCCTACAAGCCCCACCTCCATCTTGGTGTCCTTCTTGTCCTTTGGTGTTTGTTTGGTTTTTATTTTAATTGTAATTTTTTTTTTTTTTTTTTTTTTTACATTTTGGATGAAATAAAGCTTGAACGCCACCAATGATGTCATAGCCGGGTCGTGGCCTCCAGATGAAAAAAAAAAGCAAATAAAAAGCATACCACAAACCTTTTCATCATTTGTCACTATGTCAGACACCAATCATCAGAATGCAACTCGTTCGGCTGTCAATTTTTTTTTCAATTAATCGATCAGTCAAATAAAAAGTCGTTTCCATCCCTTCAGTTTGGATATTTTCAAGTTAAATTGATTATCCAAATGAATTTGACACCGACTTGTCACTGAACTGATCCAATGATGCGCCTACTGATGGTAGCGGATGAGACCACAAGGGGTCGCTGTAGCCCTTTGGCCAAATCATGCCAGGAAATGGACAAATTGGTGTCCAAATTGGTGTGCAATTTCCACGCCTCCTCCTTCCTGTGGCGTCAGTGCACCGCCGAAACCGCGGCCACATTCACTCGACATTCTTGTGAAACAATGCAAAATGAAGACACAGAGTGTGGAAAAAAAAGTGAGCCCTGCAGCAGCCTTCGCTCACACTCGAGCTACTCCCAATTTTTGGCGTCAAGTTGGACGAACTTGAAGGCCAGGTTTGAAAGTTGGATTTGGAGGCACGCCAGAAGTTGCATCGAATGGCCGTCGAATTCGGCTTTAAAAGGACGCAGCCTGCGAAATTTGGACACATCCAAAGTCTTTTATTTTGAAAAGGATGAGCTATTTTATTTAGAAAGTGCAGGAAGCGTTGCTGACGTCCTGTGCGGTTTTTTTTGGAAGAGGACATGGGCAAGGTGTACTCGCAGGTAAGCACGACTAACTTAACACACAACCGCAGTGAGTGAAACAATGGATAAAAGCCATTTGTATGACGAATTAAAACGAGAAGAATGCGAATGAGGGCAACCACGTCATTTGTAATTCCAAAAGTGCCCTTTTCAAACTTGACTTTGACTCGCCGAATTGGTTGGTGTGCATGCGTGGGTGTTGAACTGGTCCGGCGGGTTCATTTGGGATGTTAATGAAAGTCATACAACTGGTTGCCTTGCTGTGCAAGTGCGCGCGCGCGCGTGCAAGTGTGTGCGTGTGCGCACGCGCGTGTTTGTCCCCGTCAACCGATTGGCCCTTCCCTCGTGCAGCCAGCCTGTCAGTTTGCGTACGACAGTGACATCCAGCAGCTTTTCTCCCTGGTGGACCGCGACCCGAGCAGCATCAACGCCCGGGATGACGTCACCGGGGACACGCCCATCATCGCCGCGTGCCGCGGTGCCAAGCTGGACGCGGTCACGTTCCTGTTGGAGCGCCACGCGGACGTGCGCGCGCTCAACAAGGTCAGCCGCGGGTTCACTTCACGCCTGCTTCATCTCGTCTCCTTGCCTGCCGTCACACAATCAATCGATGAATTGTTTCCAGACTTTAGTTGAGCGCAGATTGATTATATATGTGGTGCAATAAAAAGAGACCTTTGCAAACTTTTACTTTGACAAACAACAATCTAGATTTTTTTCCCGACTTTCTGATGTGACGGACCAGACCAGAATTTGATTGTTTGAGTTGTCGTTGTGACGTTATTGAGTGTCTGCGTTTCAGAAGCATCGCACGTGTCTTCACTACGTGGCCAAGCAGAACTTTTCTCTTCTGGACCACCTCATCATCCTCCTCCTCATGCCCATCCTCCTCCTGGGATACTTCCTCTTGGCACGTCGATGGCATGATGACATGATCACGTGACATCATCACGTGACATCATCACGTGACGTGTACGTGTGCGTATAGTTACAGAAGCAGAGGCGCAACGAGGCTCTGATGAAGGAAGTTCTGGACAGCGACGTGGACGTCAACGCAGCCGATTATGTACGTTCGCCATGATGACGCATGTGCGACCTTGTGTGTAACCATGTGTGTGTTTCCCTCTCCAGAAAGGCAACACAGCTCTTCACTACGTTTGTCTGAGGAAACGACACCATTTAGTTCCTCTGTTGCTCCTCCGAGATGCCGACCCCTACGCCAAGAATCACGTATGTCCACTCTCGTACGCACTCTCTTTCGCCCAGTGTGACACGCCGCGGGGTCGTGAGTCTCACGCGGTGTTTCGGTTTTCAGGACGGCGAGTCGCCGCTGGACATAGCCGTGAGGTTAAAGTTCACCAAGGTGGTGAGGCTGCTGAGGAAGACGCTGTGACGCAATCTGGGCTAGAGGGTGGATTTGGCGCTACCTTGTGGCCTGAGGCGATAACAGCAGACATGTGATTTTCTTTCCATTTTGGTCGTTGTCAAACTACTCATTGGCTGAATTCTGATTTGAATTTCACCATCTTCTTCAAAGGTTTTTCAAATTCTTGTTTCTTTGGCCAGTTCGATCTCATTCTCATCCACGTGGGCCAGCTCGAAGTACAAACTGGTTGCGTGGATATTTTATCGAAAGTTGTGATCACCAATGTACAGCATACATTTTCTTTTCAAATGTATTTATTAAATCAATCAATGATGTGAAATGTAACACGTGAGATGCCAGCTGCATTCAGCATCACGATGCTAATAACCCGAGCTGGACCCATTTTCTTGTCCGCTGTTCGGCAGATTAAAACGCCAACTTGACCGGCGAATAAAAACACGTAAACAAAAGACTGACGTGAAAACGAAAAATTGTTCCCAGCACGTCGACTTTGGTGGTTCGACAACTTCAAGTGATGATTGAGTGGCGGCGAGCGAGTGCTGCCCTCTAGTGGTACTGCTGCAGGAGCTTGAGGATGGCAGGAAACATGACCTTGGGGGCATCCAGACCCCAAATGAAGTCCAGATGGTCCCAGTGGGGAATGTGTTGCTCGTACACCAAGTTGGACAGCTGCAGGTCACACAAAGGTGTCAAACATGCATACACACACAGACAGACACAGGAGAAAGAGGCCCACGCGTCTTGACCTGTGTGAGGAGTAACGCCACATCTTTGGGGTCAGCCAGCGTGTCGCGTCCCCCCGAGAAGATGGCAGTGGGAACCTTCACGTCGCGCACGTGGTAGCTGGGGGGTGTGGACTGCGGAGCCCACGCAAAGTCAGCACCGCTTGTTTCACGTTTCCTTTTTTACGCTTGCCCAGCACGTCGACTTTGGTGGTTCGACAACTTCAAGTGATGATTGAGTGGCGGCGAGCGAGTGCTGCCCTCTAGTGGTACTGCTGCAGGAGCTTGAGGATGGCAGGAAACATGACCTTGGGGGCATCCAGACCCCAAATGAAGTCCAGATGGTCCCAGTGGGGAATGTGTTGCTCGTACACCAAGTTGGACAGCTGCGGGTCACACAAAGGCATCAAACATGCATACACACACAGACAGACACAGGAGAAAGAGGCCCACGCGTCTTGACCTGTGTGAGGAGTAACGCCACATCTTTGGGGTCAGCCAGCGTGTCGCGTCCCCCCGAGAAGATGGCAGTGGGAACCTTCACGTCGCGCACGTGATAGCTGGGGGGTGTGGACTGCGGAGCCCACGCAAAGTCAGCACCGCTTGTTTCACATTTCCTTTTTTACGCTCGCTCACCTGGTTGTAATGTTTCATGTTGCCCGCTGCGCCAAAGTCAAACGCCGAGAGCTTCCCGCTGGTGACGGCCTGCAAAAACATTTCGAGTCGAGTTGAAGTTGTGTCGCCCTTTGTCATATGTTCGATGATTAATTTCCCCTTTTGATTCCAGTGCGTGAAAAGGCTTCAGGGGGCCACCCTTAACAAAGATGGCCGCCCTGATTCCCCCACCCCTCCCCTCATCTAAACCCGCAATTGTCTGTCCACGAGTGTGCGTGCGGTGACCTGCGCCCAGTGCAGCATATTTTGGACGGACGTGCCGGCAGGACAGTGCGTGGTGTAGACGGCCGTGCGAGACTGCAAGCAAACAGCAGACAACAAACCAGTTCGCTTGGCTGAAGTCGGCCACCGAGGGCGAAAAGCAGAACGGCGCAACCGACCACGTTGAGGTTGAGCCGGTCGAAGCCGCACAGGACGAAGAAAAGATTTCCACACAACTGGTCGAGCAGATGTTTGGCGCAAACGTGCTCGGCGAACCACTCGATCATGTGACTCTGAGGCAGGAATTCCCGCCTTCCAAACAGGTCCTTCAATCAGGTAGGGGAGTCGGGAACGATGAATCCTTCATCCCTTCTATTTTCAGTGAATCTTTTTCGAGACTCCTACCCAAACCAGGAACTCGGGCAGGACAGCCAGTTTGCTCATCGGGCTGGTGGGAAATGCCACCGTGGCCACCGGACCCAAGCCCACAAACAATTTGATCTTGGCGGCAAGGTGTGGCAGCGTGGAGAAGGCCATGAAGGCTGCCCAAACACAAGACGCGCACACGCGACCTGAGCATTTCATTTGAACGACACGATGCATAACGACGCGTGTGTGCGCCTTTTACCGATGGTGGTCCCCTGGGAGTGTCCGACGTAAGTGATCTGCTCTTGTCCCGTCACCTTGAGAATGTAGTCCAGCACCGCGGGAAGATCCAAAAGGGCCATTTCGTCATGACTGTGCACACCAAAGCACGCTCGGTTGGTTGTGGTGAGCGGCGACAAGTGAACGAGCGAGCGTACCTGAACTTCCAGAAGTCGTCGTGGTCGGGCGTGAGCGTGCGGTGTTTCCTGGACCAGGTGTTTCCTCGGCTGTTCCCCAGCCAAACGTCATAGCCGGCGTCGGCCAGCGTGAAGCCAAGGGCGGACTCAGGCGGGTTGGTGATCCAGTTGCTGCCGGCTGCCAGGAGGCCGTGCTGGAGGAAAACCACACCTCGGGGACCTGCGCGGACATGACGTCGCCAATACGAGCGAGCCCCTTTTCAAGCTTTTCCAGATGGATAGCGTGACCCTAAGCCTATTAGTTGCACTGACTTTGCACGTGCTGGCGTCCCGCAGGGATCCTGTTGACCGTCAAGATGTAGCCGTCCTCTGTCATCACCTCATGCTCCTCCGCTGGGTAGCCCCATCGATGGATGATTTCTGTCTGCATGCAAATATGTGGATAATGTGTAATATGTCACGTCCGTGTGTGTGTGTGCTCATGTGAAACACTCACAATGTTCATGTGTACTTCAGGGTCCAACGGTGGCTGAGTGTCAATAGAGCGACGCCCCGTTGATGGCGGCCAGTCGGACAGGGCCACACCGCACAGCAGTGCCGCCCAGACTGCACAAAGCGTACACTGCATAGTCCTCTCACTCTGCGCACGCACACACACACACACGCACACTGGCACACAAGCCTCTTCATAAGTTATGTAGAATGGTGAAATCTCAAAGGCCGAAAAGCAACACTGAATGCACGTGACCTTTGATCCCTCAGGCAGAGACTGCCGAAAAGGGGAGAGCATTGTAGGAGCATTTCGGAAAATGATTGTCACGTCACACAGTTGGTCACTACATCGACAAAAGCAACTTTAGACTCGGCCATGCAAAGCCAAAATTACATATAAGTGTTGTTCAAAGACAAGGTGATGTAACACAGTGGTAAACATGGACCAGTCTGTCCTAACTTTTTGGTTTAGGGTTACTGGCATCAATTTTTTTTAAAAAGGGTATACTTGCGCATCAACACAGAAACCCCAAGAAGTTCATCAATCAATTTAAACATTAAATATTTGGCCTTTATAGTCTATTCCAGTAGATTGAGAAAGTTCAAAGTGATTTGCAAAACTTTATATTCTATTTTTGCTTCTTTACGATTTACACAACGTCCCAATTTCAGTGGAATTTGGGTTTGTGTAAACACAATTTAAAAAAAAAAAAATGAAAACGAGCAGAGGAACTGCTCGCCACGCAAACATGACCTCAACGTGAAGCGAAGGGCGCCCCTAACACAACGTAAACATGTGCAAACTCTCCACGAAACTAATGTAAAGATAGGCAAACAGGCGGCACCGGCTCTACGGTCGATTCAAGACACCGCGGAGTGCGTCTATGCGACTTGAAAGGAGTTTTTTGAAGGCGATTGAGGAGAGATCACTCACCGGAAGCTGAGATCAGGCGCTTGAACCCTGATCATGTGACGCCGCATGTGACGTCACAGAAAACCCCAACTCTCACTGCTTCAGGAGTCGATTAGAAAACAAAACACGAGTGAATAAAAAAGGTGTGATGGAATCTGAATGGCTTTCTAGTTCTTTTAACGGTTTTAGCATGAAATGTTGACGCCTTCGTACAAGAAGAAAATGTGCGGAAGAGCGCCCTCCCCTGCTCAATGGCTGCCATGTCACCTCCACAGCGCGGTGGATTCAAATAGTTGATCAAGTCTTTTTCGATCAACGCCACCTTCTTAAACTATGGTTTCTTTTGTGAAACAAGCTGCCTTGTGTGGTGTGTGGTGTTTGCAACATACTGATCCGTACTGATCCGTACCAAAATCAAGAATTCAACGAATTAATTGCAGGGGAAAACTATTCTTTTGTGAAACAAGCTGCATTTTGTGGTGTGTGGTGTGTGCAACATACTGATCCGTACCAAAATCGGTCAAGAATTCAACGAATTGCAGGGGAAAACTGTAATGTAAATGCGTGCAAGAAAGGGAGCTATGGCCCCCTCTAGTGGCTATTATCTCTAAGGACGCAAGGACAAGCGTCGCGTGAAACTGGCGTCATAACATAAGGACCGCGGCCGACGGGCCGAAGAAGCTTGAAGCGGATTTATGGATTAGAAGAGCAGAAGCAGCAGGGATATTAGAGGCGCAACATCGACGGTGTGTCTCTTGACCACTTTTTCCTGTTGTTTGGGTCCAAAATACTCGACGACGTCGCATTATCAACTGCGAAAGCGCGGTGAACGGCACCACTGGGGAGACGCTGCTGCACGGTTTCCTTGACGACGGTGAGACAACCAGGGCGATACGGGATCAGTCGGTGTGCATCATCATGGTTCTTCTACTCGATCATTGGGATGCTGGGGAGGATCCCTTCGTGGGTGTCGTGACCTTTTTGCTACTGTTTGTCCTTTTTGACATGGTTGGGTGGATGAGTGGTTGGGGGAGCTTGGGAGGCAGGTTGCTTCCTGGGCAGGGTGGCAAGACTCCAAGGAGGTGCGTCTAAATCCCAATGGTTGGCGCAGCAGAGATTGAGGGCATCATGGCGGACTAACTAATTGACTGCCGTGGATGTTTGTATTGGTCAGGCGGAATCCAAGCATTTACTCTCTATTTGTCATGTACATTTTGCATATCTTGAAAACTTACATGAAATCTTCAACAAGTCAATATCTCCCGATAGTTTTTTTTCCAAATGCGTGGACATCAAGTGACCAGCATGTGTGTTTTGTCCTGCAGCAAAACACAGCGTGGCCATCCAGTCATGAGCGAGTGGAGCGGCGACGATGGGAAGTGGCTGGACGCCCACTATGACCCCGTGGCCGGCCTGCGCACCTTCACTTCCTGCATGGCGCTGGCCGACTTGAGCGGCGACGGGGACGGTCGCCTGGTGGTGGCCGACCTAGGCGGCGGCGCCTCGGCGGCGTCCATGAAACTGAAGGTGTACGGCGGCACTGCTCTGAGCAGCGAGAGCGTCCTCCTGGACCTTCCGTGCGGCCTGGTGGCCTTCTTCATGGACCTGCACGAGCCTCGCATTCCTGCCGTGGCCGTGGCATCCGGACCCTGCGTATACGTCTACAAGAACCTCAGACCTTACTTCAAGTTCACGCTGCCCGGACTCGACGTCAACACGCTGGAGCAGGTGTGAGTCTTTGCTTCGTGAGTACCAGGCGATCTTACGCTTGTGGCTTGGGCTGTGACAAATAAATGATGAGCAAATGAATCAAAGACTATTTTGCTAATCAGTCGCTCGCGACTGTTGTTTCCCCAGAACCCGCATTTTGTATCTTGGCGCTAATCTCTTTTTTTCAGGAAACGCAAGCTCCATTTGAGAATGGTGAATTGTGAGATGTTGACCAGACGCCTGTTCCGGTATTGGTCACTTTTTGACTGCCGCTGCCTTGTGATTGGTCAGGATGTGTGGCAGGAGGCCAGGGACGGGCACATTGACCCCCCCGCCATCAAGGAGATGTTAGAGAGTCTCCGGAAGAAGGCCGACATCCCGTTATCCGTGCGCTCGCTCCACTTCCTGTCACTGGATGACGAGCACCTGGAAGACTTTGTCCAGCTGCACAAACAGCAGCCAATCAAACGACAGGTACGCACGCACGCATGCACGCGCACACGGACGCACGCATGCAAGTAGACGACGTATTTTTTGGTCCTCAGACCGTCATCACGTGCATGGGCACACTGAAGAAAAGCACGGCGGACGAGGACGGCGTCAGCTGCCTGGTGATTGGCACAGAGAGCGCCCATCTTTACGTGCTCGACCCCGAGGCTTTCGTCATCCTTGCAAAGGTCACCGTCCATCTGCCCTTTATTCTCTCCGTCCGTCTGTCATTCTCTTGTGTTAGACCTTCTGTCTGTAATTTTCTGTCCTTCCACCTGTATTTTTTGTTTTTATGATCCTGCTGCAGGTGGCGCTGCCGGCCCCACCCACTATGCTGGACGTGACGGGTCAGTTTGACGTGGAGTTCCGCATCACGGCGGCATGTCGGAACGGCAACATCTACATCCTGCGAAGGTCAGCCTAGCATTGGGACGGGTTCACCGCTTCAAGAAGATCCTGAGCTGTTTGCGTCTACTCACAGGGACTTGGACAAACCGAAGTACTGCGTGGAGCTGTCGTCGCATCCCGTGGGCTTGGTGAGGGTCGGAAAGAACATGGTGGTGGGAACGACGGACCAGAACCTGCAGGGATTCACGCAGAAGGTAACGAACGCCTAACTTGAGGGAATCCAGACTTGCCGGCTCCAAGGACTTGAAGGAGTTTAAAGACTTGATTTAGTGGTCTAAGGAATTGATGGGTCTGAAGACTAATTTAGTTTTTTTTTTTTTTGTGTGTGTGTGTCTGAACAAAAGAAAGCCAAAACCTTGATGGTCTCATGTGGCTTGTCTAGGGTAAGAAGCTGTGGAAGGTGGTCCTCCCGGCCCCCATCTGCACCATGGCCAGCATGGACCTCCCCGCTCGAGGCTTCCATGGGGTCTTAGTGGGCCTTGCCAACTGTGAGGTCCATTTATACAAGGACAAGAATCTGGTGAGCACCATCAAGACTCCGGACGCGGTGACCGCCATTTGCTTTGGGCGCTACGGGCGCGAGGACGGGACCCTCATCACGACCCTGAAGGGCGGCGGCCTGGTGGTGAAAATCCTTAAGAGGACAGTAGAGTTCCAAGACCGGGATAGTACTCCCGGACCCCCGGCGGCCCAGAGCATCCGTCTCAACGTGCCCAAGAAGACCAAACTGTACGTGGACCAGACCCTGAGGGAGCGCGAGAACGGTACGGCCATGCACCGAGCCTTCCAGATGGACCTGATCCGCCTGCGACTGGCGGCAGCCAAGGCTTACGCCAAGGCCCTGGAATCCAGTCTGACTCCGGTGTCGTCCGGTTCCGGGCGATCGCTCAAGATGAACGCCGTGGTCCAGGGTCTGGGCCCGTCCTTCAAGCTCACGCTTAACATTCAGAACACGGCGGCGTGTCGGCCCATCCTCAATCTGGCAGTCAGCTTCCTGTACGACCAAAGTTTGTACAGGATGAGGAACCCGTTTCTGAAGATCCCGCTGCTGGTGCCGGGACTGGTCTACCCGGTCCAGACCCTGGTGGAGTGCACTAGTGACAAAGGCATCTCTGACATCATCAAAGTTTTCGTCCTACATGAAGAGCAGAGCACGCCGCTGCTCACCGCTCACATTAACATGCCCGTCAGCGAGGGAATCAACTGAGACGCTCGACTTAGCTTCACGTAATTTAGCTTAATTGAGCTTAGCTTTCCAGGTCAAGCATCTATAGGGCGAGGAAGCTGGCACCATGCGGTCCTGTAAAAAAGTAGGGTCGAAAATTGGCAATGTTGATAAATGGCATTTCAGGACGCCTACAATACTTCTTTCGACACTCCTCTTTGCCAAGATAACATTTTAATGCATCAGACTCTGTTTTTTAGCCAAGGCACATAGTTTCTCTTCTCATAGCACATCGACAAAAAGTGGTGCAAAAAGTACACATCATCGCTGTCAAGTGGAATCCTCACGTCTCCAAAATGACATTTGGTTCAACATGGTATTTGACCTTCTATTGCTGTCATATGTTGTTGCCCTCTCACATCAACACGCCCCCCCCCCCCCCCCGCAAATCATGTTTATTCAGGAAGGGCAGATAAAAAAAGTCTCCTTTTTTAGGCTGCCATTGATTCCAAAGGTAGAACACATTGGCAACTTCTGCTGTCCGCACCACAGGGGGCGCTCAAGGCTTGTTGCCATAAGAGTTTCACCTATTGTTTACGAATTTTGTATTAGTTGTAATGGTATTTGTCAGTCAATCCGTGGCTCGATCCGTATCATCCATAAGGATTGGGGAAAGGAAAGAAACGTTTATTAAAAAAAAAAAAAACTCTACAGCGTAGTTCTGGTTGTCCAACAATCGAGCGAACACGTGAGTTGAAAGGTCATCAACCCGGAAGATCAACAATGCGAACAAAAGCGCCACTTTGAAGCAAGACGAACGAGCCCGAAAAAGCAGACACAAACAAAAAGGTCCAGAAGGGTTGGTTCCGATTTAGAAATGCTCTTCGTCGTCACGTCCGTCGTTTTTGTGATCTTGTCGAGCCGCCACGGCTGCTCAGCGGCGGACGTGCCAAACTTCGCGGCCCATTTCGGCTCCAAGACCCGCTACGAGGACTCCGCCGCCCACCGGAGGCTGCTCGCGGAGCTCAACGCCGGGCCCAGGCTCCACACGGACCCGGGCTCGCTTCTGAGGACCCCGAACGGAGAGCGTTGCTCCCCGATGCACCTGACCGCTGTTGTCCGCCACGGCAGCCGCTACCCGACTGTCAAGAACATCCGCGCCATTCGCCAACTCAGCAACCTGCTGCGACGAGTTGATGGCCAACAGACCCAAGAAGCCCAAATGGGCGAACGAGGCGAAGGCTCTGCGGCCTGGAACCGGGACGTCCTGCGCCGCTGGGACATGTGGTACACTGACGACATGGACGGTGAGTACTGGGCAGGAGGACGGGATGCCACACAACACCTTACTCAGTCATAAGACTTTCTTTCATTTAAATTTATGACTTATCCAGTGTTGTTTTGTGTTTAAAAAAAAAAAAAAGTAATTGAATGTTCGTCAATTTATGTCTGTTGTGCGTTTGATCAACCAGCAACACATTAACTCGTCAATAGAGGGCGCTAAGGGACCGCTCTACTGTAATAACATTAGAACACAGAAACATACTAACAGATTTTAAAGGATGAGAAACACTGGACCAACCAACCACTGAATTGACTACTAAAGCAAGCAACAAACTCAAGTCTATCCCAAAGATTGTCTGACTCTCACAGCATGATTAAGTGGCCACTAAGGAGCCAGTTTGCATCTGATTGTGCACCTATTGCAGGTCAGCTGGTGGCCAAAGGTCGAGAGGATCTGCAGCAGCTGGCGACTCGACTTTCCACTTTGTTTCCATCCTTGTTGGGGGAGGAGTCGGTGCGTGGGGGACGCATTCACGTGGTGACCAGCTCCAAGCATCGATGCGTGAGGAGCGCCGAGGCCTTCCAGGAAGCACTTCACGTCAGAGCCAACATAACACGTAACCTTCCCTTTCTGCTATATTGCCACAAAAAGAAAAGCTCATAAAAATACCAGTGTGTTGTGTGTCTGTGTCCTGTCCGGTAGCGGTGCAATACCGCCACCAAGTGGATGACGGTCTGCTTCGTGCTTATGATGGTTGCCCTGGCTATGTGGAGAGTGTGGAGAAGAACCGCACTGCGTTGGCCGAGGTCGACAAGTTCAAGCGCGGCCCGGAGATGGAGGCGCTGAGGAAGAAAGTGGCAGACAAATTGGGCCTTCCTCTCCAAGACTTCACGCCAGGTTACCATGGCGACCGTGGCAATATGCCCACACACAAAATGGAGATAAAAGTCGGAAAAAAATAACCAAGCACATCTCTTGTAGATCTTCTGGAGGTGGCCTATTTTCTTTGTGCTTACGAGCTGGCCATCAAATCGCTGCACTCGCCCTGGTGTTTCCTGTTTGAGCCCAGTGATGCCAAGGTACCCCAAAATACAAAAGGACACTGGCATGTACACAATTGCATGCTAACGTTGACAATTCTACCCACCAACGACTGTTTTCAATGGGGAGAGGCGTGCAATGTTTTGAGGCAGGCTCCACTGTGAATTTCAGCCTTGGAAATAACTTTACTGATGCTTGCTGTAAATATGAGAGGGGTTCTTCTCGAGATTCTCTGCTCGGCCATATGCAATGTGGCGACGACGACGCAGACCTACCATTCAGCGCTGGTTGTGGCCACTCTGAATGCGCAGTATGTTGATAAATGGGCCTCCCTGTGCCGACAGGTTCTGGAGTACAAGTGCGACCTGAAGTTGTTCTGGAAGCGGGCGCACGGCTACGCCATCAACCTGCTGGCCAGCTGCCCGCTTTTCCATCACATCTTCAGGACCCTGGACAAGGCCGGACGGCCGCGCAGGTCAGGCGGACGCCACCACAATAAAGCCACTCGGCATACACAAAAGGATGGGCGACTGGACTTTTAATGCCAAAGGATTGATCTGCAGGAAAACCGACACGCCGCCGGATCCCGCCTCTATCCTGATTGGCCACGCTGAGACACTCCTCCCTCTCCTCGGTTTGCTGGGCCTCTACAAGGATGAGACTCCACCCACTGCAGACAACTACCACACGCAGGACGGTAAGACAATGCTGTACCGCCTGACCCCCTCGAACCCAAACCTGTTCTGACACCCCTGGCCCTCTCCAGGTCGCCATTTCCGTTCAAGTCTGCTGGTGCCGTACGCGGCCAACATGATCTTGGTTCTGTTGGACTGCGCGCGAGGCCCCCGGCTGCAGCTGCTGGTTAACGAGGAGCCCGTTCGATTCCCAGGCTTGCCGCACGAGGACGCGCCACTGTACCGTGATGTCCGGGCGGCGTACCGTCACCTGCTGGATGGATGTGATTATCACAAGGCGTGCAGCAGCACGGCTGGCGGGCGCGGACCCAACACGGAGCTCTGATTGATCCCTTATGGGCACATGTGGCCAATCGGCAGAGCATCCTCTGTACGCTGACAAACTGGCTGTCAAGATTTCACGTCGATGTTTTGTTTGTGCGTAACTTCTGTCGCTCCCTAGGTTGGCAACCTACGTTCCAACCACAGAAACAAACGTCACTTGCATACAACGTAGGCAACACCCCTTTGCCACTGAGTGAGCTGACAATTTTCATTCTGTTTTGAAGGACAGCCAGTGGGGAAACAATATGGATTAATCGCAAGAGGTAATTATTGTGAGATTATTTTCTGCTGGAGAAACACAAAACTCTACTTCACTTTTTACGAATGGGAGACATGGGGCCTCTGTCATTTTCACTCCATCATATCCGGAGGTCGTTGTTGCAAGCGGCGCCATCAAGTGGGACCAGTGCAGCAATGTCGCTGGTCAACACCACCCCTCAAAGCTCATATGGTGTCAAGTCAAACCAAGCAAGATGGGATCGGAGATGATCAGCTTCATCAGCAGAGGAATGGCTTGGCTGAAGAGGAGGCTTTTATTGTTTCATCATAAAAGCTTTCTTGATGATTGGGTTAATTTGAGCAATAAATCAGGCTGGAAGCTGTTGAATTCTTCAATGCAACAAGGACCTAACGGGAAAGCAATGGTTGTGTGCATTTTCACAATAAGAGTATGTGGAGCGTGAGGGTGAGGTTTGTTTTCTGGAATCTTTTCAACCCTTTTATTTATTAGCTAGATTGACATTTGCACTAATGTTAAAGTTGTTTTCGATGATGATGATGAATTTGTTTGTGCTTGTATTCCAATGGATAAGGTTTCAACTTGAAATAAAGCAGGAAGCTGTTTGATCCAAATTTTCCATTTGGAAAATGTATCGCCATTTCTCAATCTGCCATTTAGCCAGCAATATAAAATAGGATCTACACATATGTAAATATGTATACAAAATATATTTTCACAGAAGAAGAGAAAGATGCGGTTCTGTCTTTATGTCCCATTTTTGATTGGTCCTTTTTGTCTACGTCACTTCCTGGAGCTGCGTGGCTAGTTTCTGTTAGCTTGGAGCAGAAGGCACGAGTCGTCCGTCCAAACATGTCGTCGTCCTCTAGTCGTGTTCTGGTGGTGGGCGCCGGTCTGACGGGCAGCCTGTCCGCCTGCCTGCTCAGGAGGGAGCTCAAGGACAAAAATGTCCACATCGTCGTCTGGGACAAAGCCCGCGGAGTCGGTCAGTAGACGCACGCAGGGGAGCCGTAGACCACCGTGTCGCTTATGTCATAGCTTCCATAATTCTTAACATATTGACAAAATGCAAACACCGTTTTGTTCCTTTATTCCAGATCTTTTCGGTGACATTGGTCTTGATGGAAAAATGTGTTGTCACGTCCCTTACATGTTTGTTTATATATGTATCTGTGTGCGCAGGTGGAAGGATGTCGACCTTCCGCCCTCCTGACCCTTCATGCCATTCAGCCGACCTTGGAGCTCAGTACATCTCGGCTACCCGCGAATATGCACGCTCGCACCACAGGTAACCCTCTGACAAATCGTAATAAAAGAATAAACAGTCAGACCTGAGTGTGGCCTTCACACTCGGGATGGAAGCATATCGAAAACTTTCTCCAACATGTTTGTCAGCTTCTACACGGAGCTGCTGGAGGAGGGCATCCTGCGTCCGCTCGACTGCGCCGTGGAGGGCCTGCGACACAAAGATGGCAGCACTGACTACGTGGCGCCGTTGGGCATGAGCAGCGTGGTCAAACACTTTCTGCGCCACTCGGGTGAGCGCTTCCTGTTTTCTGTGGGAGCCACTCACGTCGTCTTGTTATTTTTTTTCTTGAGGTGACGTGAGTGCCAGCCGAGCGGTTTGCATGCCCGCATCGCAGCGCTGAGGTGCAATCTTCCTATTCGGACTGTGGCTCCGCAGCATCTTCGAAGGAGACCGCTTCCAATATTTACCTTTCTGTCCATCTGTCATGTGTGTGGTGGTCTAGGAGCCGACTTGTTCTTGGAACATCAGGTGAGCGGCCTGTATCGCCGAGGCTCCTCCTGGGAGGTCCACAGGAAGCAAGGCGACAGCCAAAACTTTGACTCTGTGCTCTTGACCATCCCCGTCCCGCAAATTCTGCAGCTTGAAGGGGACCTGGGAGACGGTGAGCCCACTTAAATGATTTCAGGCGGCTTTTCTTTGAGAATGTGCTTGTGTGTGCACATACATACGTGTGTATATATATATATATATATATATATATATATATATATA